GAGAGACGGTGACCATCTCGAACGCCCCCGCCGAGTCGTGTGTTGGGAAAACAAAATAGCGGTGACCGTGTGGCGTTCGTCCGTAGGGAGTGGTATGGCATGAGCGTGGAGTGGACTATCACACGTGTGTTCTGTCCTCTCCCGGCGTCGCGCTCCTGCCGCCGCCGGCCCTGGCCTGGAGTCGACGATACGCCGGCAAAGACCAACAACACCCGGCCGCGCCCCTTGCCTCTGCCTCCCGCACTGCCTCCCGCTGCCCTGCAAGCCGGGCCCAGGAGGACCTTGGCTGGTGCCCTGGCGAGCGGCCGCCCCGCCCAGAGACGCCCACAGGTTCGCGCTTCCGGTCCGACGAAGAGACAGATCCCATGGCTCCTTTCTGACTCTTCCTCCTCGACACGCGTGTGTGTGTGGACCGGATAGCTGTCGGCGTGGACGCTTTACAGTATTGTGGGATGGAATACTCCCTCAGGCGGAGAGAGTAGGCAAACCCGCAACACTGCAACGGGCCGCTCTCATACACACACTCGGTATGTGTGTGACTAGGGCATGGTGTCGGGAGGGAGGGAGGCGGGGGGGGGGGGATTTGTTTATACATGTGACGGACGCAACTAGCCTTGGACAACAGTGAACAGCGCCGAGTCATTCGGCGGTCGTCGGTACAGGGACATGCAGACACACACAGCTTCGCGGTCACCCCAGGTGGCCGGCTGGTGCAGAGTGTGTGTGTGTGTGTTGGGGGGGGGGGGGCGACGGTGACACGAGTGTGGCTGCCACGTGGCGGCCGGGGTCCCGCGGGGGACCCGCGAGGTGGAAAGGGGAGCAATCATTAGCGGCGGGATCTCAATCGGCTGCGGCGGCCTGCCGCCGGGTCCCCGTCATTCACTCTCACCGCGTCGTGGTGGTGGTATCCGGCCACGCCCCAGGCCCCGCCTCCGCGAGGCTCTATTTGTTTGGCGCCAGCCGGGCCGGCAACTTTACCCGATATTTGGCCGAGCGGCGGCGCTAAAAGCTGTTTGCTGCCGCGGGGCGCGCTGTGCCACGCCCGGCCTGGGCGCTGTGTTTGCCGCTCAGAGACCAGCCGGCCGGCGCTAGCCGGGGCCCCGAGGCCTGCCTCCCCGTAGGCGCCATCCACACCCCATTTTACTTTCGCCCCTGTAAGGCGAGCGTGGGCAACACATCTAACGAAGGGAGAAGTAGTTGTACTGTGTGTTGTGTAAGAAGGTCCAGGGGGTCGTAGAAGTAGTGAGTGTCTCATGAAGTCCACACCGGGGTGGGGCAGCCGTCGCGCCCGCCAGGGCCACCCTCTTTACGAGCACGGGGGCGGCGGCGCCCGCGGCTGTGGGGCGTGGTGGCGCCGCCGCGGGTCCTGGCTGCGGCGGGCGCGAATGCCTCCGCGGCCCAGTCAGCTGGGGGAGAAATAGAGGCACACTCACCGCACGACAACTCTATATGCCATTCAGAAATGTGGCCGGCCATCACGACCGTGCGGGGCGCGTGGCGAGAGGGGCGCGGGAGGACGGCGGCGTCGAACAGGCCGAGGCCTCCCACGGAGGTCTGACTGATGTCTGATACGATTCAGACCGGGGGGCGGGGAGGGCCCGTTACCATACTGGAGCGGCACACGTCGGAGACGCGTGTTGTTGCGGGAAGGTGGTACACGGCCCCTCGCTCCAGCCTCCAGCCTAATGTATATGATGGCTACTTAAGCCGAGTGTAGCGTCTGCTAAGCAGTTTGCTTTACTCGAAACGAAACGCTCCGCGAGACTCCCCCGAAGAGGCTGATCTAAAGCCTCTGCTAGCTAGCTGTCATCCCACGATCACGACTCGGGCGCTTACCCGCGTAGCTCAGCCCGCGGCCGTCGCGTCGCCTCTCGCGCCCTGGCAGACACCACCGCCCACCGCCGGCCGGCGTGACAGTCGGCGTGCGGCACGCGCGCGCCGCCGGGGCGACCCTGGAGGTGACGCGGGCTGCGAGCGACCGGCGGCGTCCGCGGCCGGCAAAGGCCGCCGTCAACAAGGTGCTTCGTCTCTCGCCCGCGCGCGCGTCTGGCGGCCGTCCCAAATAATTACGGAAATGTCAAAGCGAACACGCGGAAGGGTTTCTAACGACACGGATGCTTAGAAAAACGTCGGGGTTTCCCATTTGAAAATGAGTTGCCGTCGAAACCGTTCTCGAACCGCGCGCGGCGGTGCATGGAAGCTGGGAGAGCGAGAAGCTGGCTACATCCCACTACATCTTCACTGTTACGCGTGTTTCAGAGTCGCGACTGGCTCCAGCTTCGCATCCTGGAGAGCACGCCCGAGCTGACGCGCCTGGGCGCCACCCTGGAGGAGGCCCTCCAGCTGCAGCGCACTCACCACGAGGTCCTCATCAAGCTCCAGGTAAGGGTCGTCGTCAGCGTCCTCTGACCGACCGCCGCCAGCGGCATGGCGCACGACGCTCCTCTCGCCGGCGGCGCGCCGTCAGGCTGACCGTCGGCCTGCCGCGCGCGTTGGGCGGCCTACCCGCCCGGCGCCGTGGTGGTGCTCACGACCTCATCACGGCCGCTCTGGGCGCGCTCCCTTCCACTTGCAGAGCAAGCAGAGCCCCGTGGAGGAGCTGCTGCGCCAGGCGGACCAGCTCATCTCCACGCAGGGCGCGCGGCCCGAGGTGTACGCCGCCATGGCAGAGTCGCTGGGCGCGGCGTGGAAGGACGTCAACCACCACCTCGACACGCGCAAGAGGGTGCTCGACCTCAACGTCAACTACCACAGGTAAGTTCAACGCAAACAGTTTTACAGATAAAAAGGGGGAGAAAAGCGGCACTCTTTTGTAAATTGCGACAACAAATGAAAACAACGTGTTTTTTATTTCAAAAGAAATAAGTCACATAACAAGTATTAAATACAATCAATGTGCATCAATGGCGTTGGAGAAAATCATTAAATAAAATTTAAAAAAACATAAATTAAATCTCTATAGTAGAGCCTCTTAAAATACATGACTTGAGGTGGGCATTTGGTATCATATAGGATATTTTGCAACCGGGGTAAATACCCAATGTCTAAAAAATCAGGTACTAAGCAATGCGATTTTACGTTAAAAGAAATAAGTTACTAATAAAAATTCATAAATAAAATCCAATGTACAATATACATCATCAATAGTGTGCAGCAAATCATTGAATAACAATTCATCAATTATTGTCAAGTTTAAAAATACAGGCGTTTAGATGGACATTTGATAACATAAGGTATTTTGCAACTGGGGCAAAAACCCCGGTCTAAAGGTGCGGGCGTGTTGCAAAATGCACAATCGGTCCAAAACGCGTCATCACTCGGATGGAACCAGAAAGTTTGCTCTGGTTCCATACGCGGTCTCTTTTGCGGTGGAGACAACGGTTGCCACTCAGGTTCTCTCTCACCACGAAGCTCTTGAAAGATGATGTGCCAGGGTTTGTGCTGCACAGTGTCTCTCTGGAACACCTGGGGGACCTCTTGATCTGGCGAAACAAAGCCATCCGGCTCTGCCGGCAGAACCGTATCCCTCTCTGAACTGCCAGAGACGTCACTACCCAGCCCTGTAGAGACGCCAAACTGCTCAGTCTGTAAAACCTGTGCAGGCAAGGGAAGGGCGTTACCCGCCTCATCAGGTAGAACTGCCTGCTCTCTAGACACGACGAAAACGTTTGACTCTTCGGTCGGCACAACCTCCGTCTGTGTAGGCACGAGAAGGGCGTTACCCGCCTCAGCAGACACAACTTCCCGCCCTGTAGGCGTGAGGAGAGCGTTAGACGCCTCAGTCTCAGTCGGTACAACTCTCTGCTCTGTAGGCACAACGAGAACGCTACCCGCCTCAGCAGATGCGACCCTCTGTTCAGCGCGCACGGTGGGTTTTGCCTCGTAAAGTTTTATCATCGTTTGAAGTAACAGTGGGATACATGCACTTTGCGTGTCCGTTGGCTTCAGCGCCTCATCTAGGCGCTCTCGGTAGTCTGCGGGTAGGTGCTGCAGCAGAACGTCGCGTTCCTGCTTCCGCAGCTCCAGCTTGAAGTACGGCGCTCCGCGGGGGACTCTTGGGTTCGCTTTGCAGTAGGGCACGACCCTCAGTGCATAAAATGACTGAGGGTGTTCGAGACGAGGGTCGAACATTGTCATGGTCGAAGGCGAGGTCGAAGGCTTGGCGGAGCTCTTTATCATCTCATTACGAGCCTGTACCATCTTGCAGAGCAAAAGCATGAGCGGGGCGTTTTCTGCTTTGTGGGGCTCCAGCGCACGGTCCAAGCGCTCCCGGAACTCTGCGGGCAGGTGCTGAAGGATCACCTCCTCCCTATGTCGTTTTCCAAGCTTCTTTGAACACCTAGCCCAAATTGGCACTGCTGGGTGGGCCTTGCAGTACGGTAGGACCCTCTTGGAATAAAATTTCTGTGGGTGCTCTAACCAGGGATCATACATTGGCATAGTTTTTGGCTGGAAGAAGAAACATTAGTTTATTATTGCACTGTTTACACGCTCGCTTTGGCTCATTCCAATTTGATAACACTTTGCTACATTAGCTTATTTGTTTAATGTTGAGTACAAAATTACAGATGTACCGGGTGTAACTGTGAATAGGCAGCAGTGTTGCGGGTTTGCCTACTCTTTACACCCGTAAGGGGCCATGGGCCCTGCGGCCATATTGAGTATGCAATCCCGCAACACTGCTGCGTATTCACAATTACACCCGTCTTAGGGGACTGCCAAAAATATTAAATACCTGTTCCTCCTCTGCGGCGATGTTCCCTGGTTCTGCCGAGACGACGCTACCCGGCTGTGCAGGGACCATCTCCGGGTGTGCAAGGACAATGTCCATGTCTTTCGAGACGTTGTTTCTTGCTGCTCCTGCGCGGACGATCTCAGAATCGGCAGGGACATCGCCCGGCTGTGCGTGGAAAAGGACTCGGCATGCTGGGAAGTTGTCCGGCCGAGCTGGGGCAACGCCGGAATCAGCAGAGACGGCGGCGTTACAGCGCTCTGGACGGGCTCTCTCAGGATCTGCAGGGGCGGGGACGATCTCTGGATATGTGGTAACGATCCTCGGTTCTGTCGCGAGGATCTCTGGCCCTGCAGGGTTGACCTCACCCGCCCCGGCAGGAACTGCAGCCTCGTTCTCGAGATGGGCGGTCGTGCTCCTCATCTCCTTACACACCACCATCATTTCCTCCAGCACCGCACTGACGTGGGCACTTTCCGCTCTCCTGGGCGCCAGCTCCTTGTCCAGGCGCCGCCTGAAGTCCAGGGGGAGGTGCTGCAGCAGCGCGTCGCGCCGCACGCGCCGCTGCTCAGCGGGGACTGGCGCTGCTCGACCTGCCTGGATGAGGCCCGCCCGGGCCGCGTGAGCGTCGCAGTGCGGGACGACCCTCGAGGAGTAGAACGAGCGAGGGTCTTCGAGCATCGGTTGAAACAGGGGTCCGAATACTGGAATGGGAGCAGCCTTCTTCTGGAAAAGAAAGAAA